ACATCCCTAGATTGGAATGTGAGTATCACTGTATTATCCATGGTGAATATAGTTCCTAATCTTCATAACCTCTCTGAACCGCAGACTAAAGCAGGGGTTGTCCATTTGCTGAGATGCTTTTGAATTTCACTCATAAGAACAACAAACTAGGACTCGCCATTCTCAAATGTGTTAAAAACAACGACTGGCCTTCCAGTAGTCAGACCTCCGTCCAGCTAGCAGCTCTTCAGTTTATCTTGCAGCGGAACCTTTGTCCAGCTGGTGGTCGCCCACTCTGTGCTTCGTCCTCCTCAGCTGTAAAGTACAACTGTGGTAATGGTGCCTGCTTAAGGGAGGTAATAGGTGAAAATCAACAGCAGGCACATAGGAAGTCCTTAACAACTAAGCCCTTTGCTAGGGGGTTAGGAGAAATCTCCATAATAAAAGCATGTTCTTGTTTTTCTCATTTTGTGTGGACTGATGAGAACTTCACTGCTGACTGCCTTGTAGGGACTGTTAGTCTAGGTTACTTCCAAGCTCTATTCTAGCTGGAGGAATCTTACAGCTCTCGGATGCTGTGTCATTCTACATTTTCCAGAGATCACTTCACTGCTCTGACTGACCAGAAAGTTTGAGCTCCTCATCCGTAAAGCTTCACCCTTTCAGTTTCATGTACGTGATAAGCAGCTTGGTTTGTGTCCATTCCCATGATTAATTTGTGGAAAATTCGCATTTTGAAAGTTCTTATATCTTTTCCTTTATTCCACGTGGCCTTTTTTTCCTTCCTTGTGACTTTGCATCCATTTTTTACCTGCTCTCTCAAGTGTAAGAAGCATCTTAGACAACTTCAGCGTCTTGAGCATTTCATGGGATTCACCATTCTTTCCTCAGCAAATGAATATTCTTTTCCTCCTTTGGCCTCTATCCGACAACTTTTGTGCGGCTTTCCATAGGATCTTCCAAGTCTCATTCCAGCGAAAGAGAGCTGTCTTTAAAAACGGTATCTCTAGCTAAATTTCTCAGTGTCTATGAAATTCTTCCAAAACAAATAGCTAGCGTTTTGTTTTTGTTTTTGTTTAGTTTTGTTTTTAGTGTTCCCTTATAAGATTTCCAGCAATGTATTTACTCTTTCCCTCCTATGAAGATAGCAGTTACCAAAATGAGAAAAAGGTTTAGCATGCCACGGTATTGTTTGGTTGTAGGGTCAGGACTAAGAATTATCTTCTCAATATATGGGACCTTATTATATCTTAAGTCAGAGGCCTTACCACCTTGATATGCTATTTGGCTCAGAGACCTATGAGTTAACTTAATGAAATTTACAGGTTACACTGAATAGGATGGTTAACAAATGTTTGTTGAGCTTGGTGATTCTCAACTCCAAGTTACAGTTTTCAGAAGTGTGGACTTTTCAAACATATATTATTCATTATGAACTTGAATCTTCCACTAAAAGGGGAAAACATTATCCTTGATTAATGGTTCTTTTAAGACATTTGGGGTCCAGTAGTTTAAAGGAAACTTCCCATTGTGCAGAGTCTGGAAATTAGCTTTTGCTGTTTGTTTCAACGCGGCTCCTTCTTCCTCAGATAGAACCAGATTTTGTCAGGACTGAGTCTACAACCCTTAGTACCATACCAGCATCTGCTTTTCACTTACCTGCCCAGCTAAATGGCTTGAGAGGTCTGAAAAAGGGCAATCTTGTTTCCAATTCCCTTTCCAAAAAGCATCACAAAAGCACTGAGTAAGGCAGGATTTCATTCTGTGTCTTCAGTAGTGTTTACTAATCCCAGCAATAGTGTGTTTAATGCACTCTGTAACTTGCACTTCCGTAGATCTGTCCTTCTGTTGTACCATTCATCAAGGCCAGGCACAGCAAGGGAATATAAGATTAGAGAAATTGGTATGGATTTCTCCTCGCGGTAAAGTAGTTCCAGGCAGTTGTACTCACTTCATTAACTATAAAGTCAGCCTACACTCTTTTCTGGCTTTTTTTTTTTTTTTTTCCTCCTAATTGGTAAGGATTTCATATTGAGAAAGAATTAACAAAGGAAAGAAACACTCAATGATATTTAAGTATCTGGTCATCTGAAACGGCAATATTGTTTGGCTCACACACAATATAAGCTTCATTTAGACAGTAAAAGATTTAGAGGGAGGACCATATAAAATCTTCTAATCATAACAAAATGTTTTAGCCATTTTTGCTTTTGACTCTATTAAATTCATTTTAAGATTGTGATTTTGGTGTCCTTCCTAGTCTACCCCCCTTCTCCCATCTCGAGTCATGTGCATCTGTGAGAATACCGTAGACCTTAGCATGCGTAAGGGTGGTGTTGGTCCTGCTCCAGAGTAGTTCGTGCCATTCTTGAGATTTGGATATAAGGCTCCCACACTGACTAGATGCTGGTTAAATACTAGCTTCATAGCAGTGAAGGGTCTTTTGTAGGTCGTTGGTAGCATTCCCAAATTTTGAAGCAGAGAATGTCAAGATCTACTCTTCCTAGGGTTTAAACGTGGAAATAGTCAAATAACAATTAAATGCCCTTTCTGGATTATATAATTGAAGGAAGTGTGTTTCTCTGACAGAGTGAAGGTACACTTCTAGCAACTGGTTCATACGATGGATTTGCCAGAATATGGACTAAAGATGGTAAATGAAGTATTTTTCTTTTTATATGTTGTTGTTGATCTAAGTTATAAAGCTTGAAGTAATTTTCATGTTTTTCTTTTTGAATATTAGGTAACCTTGCTAGCACCTTGGGGCAGCATAAGGGCCCTATATTTGCATTAAAGTGGAATAAGAAAGGAAATTTCATCCTAAGTGCTGGAGTGGA